TAACAACGCAGCAGGAGAGTTCCGGCTTGGAACAGTTTCAGTTACACTACTGTGCGTGTTCTCCCCACTCCCCAGAACCACTAATAGTAGATCATGGGGGGGGGGGGGCGAGCAAATTTTTATAGAAAATAATATTGAATATAGAAATATTTAATATATAAATGAAGAAATAAAAAAAAACATAATTAATATAAGAATTTATTAATAAATAAATAACTAAAATAAATTTAGAATAATAAATATAGAAATTAGAGAGGCCAATATAAAAAAAAAGATTCTCGGATAGATTCATATAGAAAATAGAGAAAATATAGGCATATATATCCATTCATGCACTCGCACCCGAATAGACCTACGCCCTTTAAAGATATAGAGATACACTTGTATTCAGAAACTACGACACTAAAACTCGCGGAATAAAATTTTCAGAATTTAATTATCGCCCCTCTATCTCAAAAAAAATTCGGAATTACAATACGAACCGAAAAAGTGCCGGTGCTAAAATTTCCAGCATAATAATATCACGAGACAAATACGAAGAGACTTTCAAAACGAAATACATCAAAAAATGAAATTATAAAGGCCAACGACATGTATAAAACAACGGAGTCGGCCACATTGTGTTAGAGAATAGAATAGAGCCAACAGCACGGCACCATTTATTCGATTATATCTATATTCGATTTGAATAATTCTTGCTACGGATTTTACTCTATAGAGAAAGTACAGAAAACAAATCATAACGAATATCTTATAGAACCCTCTATATATATATTATTTTTCGTATTCTATTCGCAATTAGCAAGACAACTTTCCGATTTGATTCTGAGCAGGACGCCGGCCAATAAACCCCCAACAAACATCACCAAACCAAGCTTCGGCTATCAGCATGTAGTGTATCCTGTGTGTATCCGACAGATTGAGGCAAGGATACAACCATGAACAATTTCCTGGAAAATGTCGGCCAAATTCTCGAGCAATGTCAAACCATGTGCATGGCTTCTTCTGTGCAGGGTATTGGACTCTGGTGAACATACCAGAAGCACGTTTGGAGAAACTGGCAATGATTAGTGAACATTTCCATGCGTCCATGCCGGTAGAGGGATCCAACTAAATGCCGCGCAGCGACTCAAGTGGCAACTAATTCCGTGCGGAAACTTTGGTCGGTTCGTTTGATGGAGACACAACCTCATCCTACTCAGAATGCAACACAATTGCCCGAATCGGTATGAAAGAATAGCCACGACTATGCACGGCGCACCATCCTGTTTTGGCGGGTTTGGGCGACTGCCCGGTAACTTTCATCGGGTCTAACACGGCTGCATGCAGCGCGAGAATCTCGCTGCAAAATCGGCCTTGTTGTGGACAAGACTACGTTGGCATGGCCCATGACCTGTGCCAACATCGAGCCCATGCTTGTGGTGTCTGGGTGTGTGGCTGACACTAAGCTGCAGGTGTGCAGCATGATGGCTTTTGCCATGGTCTGCCAGACTGTACAGAAAAGGTATGTGAGATATCTTTCTTCACACAAAGGCTACGATGTGAATTCCTCAACAACTGTGCGATACGGAACTAATCCCTGTGCCTGTGCCGAGGGACACATAGTCAACATAACCTGGCTGCCTGCACTATCTCTCTCTGTGAGAAATACCCAATGTGGCTGCACTCGTTTGTTCCCTGTAGTGTGCCACGGCATGCGGCTGTGCCAAGGCACGGGGCCAAACAAACTGAACAAACCTGGGTTTGCGGAGGTTTGCAAAAACACCCCGCGGAGCTGTCGACGAAGGGCAACATGCTATGACGCTGTCTGAAACTCTGCATCATCTGATAAATGCCGTCTACCTACACGCACGCCCTCCCCGGACAGCCGACCGAACATTACCTATCGAAGGAAGGAAGACAGAGGTTGCCAGAGGGGACAAAATTGACGCAATTGATCCTTTCCAGTAGGAGAGGCTCAGCGTGGGTTATCCGGCCATCAGCATACTCGTTTTGACCTCCATGGGGGACCAAGCCGCAACGGCGCAGCTCTGGAGCGCATCCTTTGCGCTCATTGGCTTCTGACTGATCATGCCCGGGAACGGCACCTTGTCATAGGTCGCCAGGTTGCGATGGAACGGAGATGTGGCTTCCATGGCGCTCTCTCTCGGACTCGAAGGGCTTGTTTGCCTCGAAGGGCTGCTCCTTGAGCGGTGCTGTTCAGAACCCCACTGAAAGATGAACTATCCAAAGTACGTAACAGGATCTGCCAAGGCAGCTCAGACTCCAAGCTCTCAGGTGCACTTGAAGCTCTGCGAAGTCCGCAGTGTCCGTCGCACCTGCTGCCTCGAATGCCTCTTTAGCAGCCTGGAAGTCCGACACATACTCCATACAGCCTGCACTGAAGGAGTTTTGACGTCAAGAACGGTATTTCTTAATCGTGGGAGGAGCAGCAGCGACCGTAGCTAGATGCATGAAAGGAGGACGAAAACATCGCATATGTGTGTTTTACCATCCATCACGAGACGATCAGCTGGATTCATGGGACAAGCAGCACCCAATCTCTCTCGTCTCGGTTTCTGTGCTCCTGGGTGTAAGTATCGCGAGGCGGCGATCAAGTTGGTAGTGGTACGGATGCAAGCTGGCTTATTAGCATTAGCCGCAGCTGTAGCGTCGTCGTCGTAGCAGTAGCAGTATTATTATGAGTAGGAGCAGTAGGAGCAGTAGGAGTAGGAGTAGGGGTAGGGGTAGGAGTAGGGGCAGGGGTAGGGGTAGGGGTAGGAGAAGAAGTAGTAGCAATACTAGTAGTACTCATCGTAGCAGCAGCAGTAGTGGTAGTAGTAGTAGTAGTAGTAGTAGAAGTAGTAGTAAGAAGAAGAAGCACTGTTTGTCTGCCAATACAAGTTACCGAATGAACAGGTGACATATGAGTCGCGAGGATTTCCGATTCCTTGCTGGCTCATGCTCCCATGAAGAAGAGAACTCCGGAGGCTTAAGCACGCGCCCCCCTGCCTGCCATGCCATCGCGTTCGGCCAGCGCCTGCTTTGCTAGAGCAATGTCGAAGCGCAACCGCGCGTAGTGAATGCCTGAGTCTGGAAAAGTTGCAGCGCTGTGAACCTTACAAGACGTTTCCAAACACAACAGATCCATGCCACCAAATACTTAGTAGCTCTGGTATCTTGTGGACCCGTCGGCTTCGGAGATTTCTCATCTGTCCTGATGCTATTCGTTCATCAATCCTTCTGATGTAGCACGGACACAGATTCGAACCCCCCAATCAAACGATGCAGTGCCCCAGCCCTGAAGCCCTGCCAAGCTACTCTGCAGGCTGCCATTGGCCTGATGCACTCCGCAGGCCTGGAACCGAAAGTCTTCATGGGGCTGGGCACCAGGAATCATAAAGTCGGAACGAATCGTCTATGGGGCGGATTTGGGAAACCTACTTAGGGTTGCTTCTACTCAGGATCCTCCTGTGAGTCTCTGGATATTCCAGTCAGCTCCACAAATACTACTTGCGGGTAAGCCCCCTGTCGCTGCTTGCTCTTCAAACATGCAGAACACGAGGGTGGCTTTGAGAAAGAACTTCATCAGTCAGGCAAGATCACCTCATTCAACTTTCAGGCTCGACGAAGAGGCACAAGATCAATTGACAAAGAATCCTGAGCACCCTTGAACGGAGCCCTCACATCAGATCCATCGCAAATGTTGCCTCTCAGCTCGACATCTTACGTTTCACGACGAAGGTGTGGCAGTCAGATCTGAGCCGAACTCTCGAACTTCGTGGTCGCACGTGATCAACAACTAAGGCTGCTGCTGCTCTTTACTTGCACCATGGCCATGAGAATAACAGACCCTACTCTTGCTCTTGCTAGGAATACTCATCTTGCCCAGCCTTGGCTTGCAGAGCCAAGGCCTCCTCGAAGTGCCCCTCCTGTGCCATGAAACACGGGAGCACCGTAGAACCCAGCACTTTCACGGTCGTGTGGTAGCGCCTACTGTCTCCTGTTTTCGCTGCAGGTAAAGCATGATTTCAGTGCGTTGGCACGCTCTCTTCTGAAGCTCGAGTGCACCCCGACATCGTCAGTCGGTTCGTTCCAAATGGTATGCCAGCCATCAAATGCTCCTCTGCTAGGCTGGCAGCCAGGAGAGTCAGGATGCTCGCGTAGAGGGGTGAATGGAGGGTGCCAGCGGCCTCGCATGTTGCAAGGTTTCTGAGACAATAACCTTTCTTCCAGCTAAAACTTCGGGTTCATCAATCACGCGAAACAGTTCCAAGACTAGCACTCATTCAGTGGTAAGAATCGTGGCCTGCATGTGGCTAGCGGCTATTCGTGTGTCAAGGAAGAGTGCGTGCCGTCAGTCTCCAGCTCGATACAGCCTTCTCTGCAAAAGAGATGCAATGACAGCCTGGAAACACGAAGCATGTCGAACCCTTCGAATGAGCATCATGACACTACTACCTCACTCGAAATACTACAGCGTGTCCTTGCGAGAACAATCACAAACACAGTGGCCGCGACAGCGGCAGACATAGTGGGAACATCCATAAAACCCTCCGTCGCTTCCAGTACCTGTACCTCCTAGCTCGAAACCCTAAGCCCTGAGCCCTAAACCCCCAAAGCCCCAAGAGCCCTAAACCTCAAACCCTTAGAATCCTGATGTGAGCCCTTTCGGGCGCCTCGCAAGCCCTGCGGGCAAGGTCGTAGTACTCGATGGCTCTGTCCCCCTCCTCATGGCAGGCGTACCTCACTTTGGAGCTTCTGCTTTAGGCTCGTGGGCTTTTTAGGGCTTTCAGGTTTAGTGCGTGGGCTTTTCAGTCTAGGGCACTATCGCCGCGGCCTTCAGAGTCTACCCTCGCCCAGTAGCTTCTCGGTATCTCTATCCCTGAGCCCAACTCTGTCAAGTGGAAGCCGGGTCTCCAGGAGGCCATATTGCGCAGAAGAATGGCGTAGGAAGTCGTGGTGGAAGCACCAGTTGACTGGGAAAATGGCACAAGGTGTGCTTGGGTACATGGGACTTGTTGCAAAGGTTCTTGATACTGTCAGAATCCTTGTACAAGGCGATCCTGCGCTTGTGCGTATGTGGCGTCTTAGAGTCTAGGGCTGTCTGTTGGCTTTGAAGTCGAGACTTCAAGTTTGCGCTCTAGATTTCGTACTTAGGGGTCTGTGGCTGAGGAGGGTCAAAAGGGGCAAGATTCGGAAGAATGAGCTTCGAGAGCGGGTCTCTGACTTGCTGGTAAATGTAAGCAGAGGCTGGTAGTACTGGCCGTCATCGTTTCAGCGCTGACATGAAACTTGAGTACGCACCTGCTATCACAGGATCCCTGCTGATCTGCTCTGTAGTAAAGATCTGATTCTGCATGCATAGTCTCAAATCCAAGCTCTGTCCTTTCCTCTCCTTCAAGAAAGTCGAGGCCACGTAATCCGGCCTCGAAAACACCCTTCGCCTGTACCATCTTCTCCATGGCCTCGCCCGCAGGGCTCTCCATTCTGAGATCTAGTTTAAGCTTTGAGCTTGCGTTCGTGCACCACTCCCCATCTCGACCAACAGCAGCCCGACAGAAACAGAGTTTATCTACAAAGCCGACACAAGCTGCAAGCGTTGAACGCGCCACTGTCCATCTTACTTCTTCCTGTGGCTACGACTTTCCCACAAGCCATAACAGCCCACGACTTACTACTGTTCCACCTCTGAATAATGTGGTCTCCTGATTAATAACCCCTCCCCCCCTCCGAACATCCTCAATCCGCATTAGTGGTCGGGGGCTGCGCCCCCCGCAAATCCTAAGTGTTTGGGGAGGGTTTAAGTTGTTGGAAGGTCAGTAGTACAGTTGTAGTACAGTAGTACAGTAGCAGTACAGAGTAGTACAATAGTAATACAATAGTAGCACAGTAGTAGGTCGTCAGTTTGTAGTAACAGTGTCTGTTTCGCAAAAGCTTAACAAAAAAGCGTCACGGGAATTTAAGACTATTGAGGGGCAGTTTTATTACTGTGTGCACGCCGAGTTTAGCTCAATTGAGGGGACCCTCACTAATCACGAGCTCACATTACTAGAATGAGCTTTCGTCTTCCCGTAGCTGACCTCTGAACAGGAAACAAACCCTCCAAGGACCCATACCTTCCACAACCGGGCCTCGTCTTGAAGGTCTATACGCGAATAGAGCGCGGCCATGCCTCGACAGTCGCTGTGTGGCTTGCTGCTGCTGAGCCTAGCATTACTGTGAATACGGTTGTCATGACGATGATGATGACTATTCCCAGGATGAGTGTCGGTGAGTGAACAGAAATACCAGACAAGCCCTCGTGCCTTTGGAAGAGGATCTAGGCGACAAGGAGGGGAGACATGTAATGGAAGATACTGTACGTCCTCAGTCAATGAAGCATACGAACGTAGCAGTTCGCCTGTAGTAGGGTCTTAGGGTATATTATGCTTTAATACTGAAAAGAAACTGCAAGGAATACTGCTAGTCACTAGCCCGATCCCAACGTCATTTCGCCGTTCCATCCCATGCGACGCGTTTCGTGCCATCTTTTGGGTACCGGTGCGTGCTCGAAAATCTCGCGACCTAGTGTTGTGGCTGGAAGAAGCGAAGCAAAACACGAGAAGGGCTACAGTATTCATAGTGGGTAACAGGGGTACACATTGTAGTATAAGTTTTTTAGAAACCCTAAGGCATAATCAACACAGTAAAATCATTGCAGCCCAGCCGCGACATGCAGGGAAAGATGCAGGAAGAAACAACTCAAGCGCGGTACAGGATTGGCATTTCGAGCACTTTGGAGCGTACGCGCCGCGCGAAACTTCAAAACCCTCCGCAGCTTCAGCTACAGCAGTGCCGCACCAATCGAAGCCGAACACACCTCGTCTAAACAAGCAGCTCAACCCGCAAACGATGGGAAAGCCGCTCAATCCGCAAATTCAATGCTCCCTGCAGCTGCCTTGCAGGAGCCGCGCATACTCTTCGGTGTCCATGCGCTCTGCTGCCTCACGGCACAGGTCAGAAGGGATGCACGAAAAACCCAGGCCCCTGACCCCAAGGAACCCTAACGTAGAACCCAAACAGCAGGATCACCATCTTTCCCTTCGGGCTCCTTACGATGATAAAGCTATGAAGCCCACCCGATCCACTATTCTAATTGTTTAGGCTATCATATTAAGCGTGCACCTACAATCACCTACACAAGATACCCCAACCCCCAAACCCTGAACCCTAAACCCTGAACCCTAAGACCCTAAACCCTAAACCCAAACCCCCCAGAGCCAAATACCCCAACCCCCAAACCCTGAACCCTAAACCCTGAACCCTAAACCCTGAAGCCCGACCCTAAATCCTAAACCCAAACCCCCCAAACCCCCCGAAAAGGCCAAAGAGTGCAGATGCCTGGAAGGCTGCAGCTGCTTCGGAGTACTTGTCCAAGGCGGACTCGCTGTCACCCTGAAAGGACGATAGGAGATGATGGGGCTTGGGGTTTAGAGTGGGTCTTCGTGTTTAGGCTTCGGGCTTAGGGCTTAGAGCTCAGGGTTTTTGCGGCTTTAGGACAAAAATCTCCTCATCATTCGGCCACGGATATATTTAGAAAGGCAAAAGGCAGGCTGCCTATGTTTGGGCGTTCCGCACTCAGGTGAACATGTCTACTGTTAAGAAGATCTTGTCGTGCCCCCAGACCTGCTCGGAATGGCATGTGGCCATGGTCGCCAAAAGGCCGAGGTAGTCCATGTTGCTGGTTGCCTTCTTCTACCGCAGCGGGCTAGGGACGATCTTCTGAGGCGATATACATTGGAACATGCCTCCTGCTTGCGGACGGATACTCTTTTACTTTTGCTTTGTATCTCTCTATACATGAACAATTCAATACACATTTATATGGTCAATAAGTATATACAAGTATATTGACTGACTGATTATGAGCGTATATAGATATACCGATATTGATATTTGACTGCACGCACAGATGTGCATGTATACACATGTTACCAATATGTCTGGGTACGCGGTTTCAGGTATCGAAGCACAATTCCAGTACCCGTGGCAGACCATCGGTTTACAGGCGGTGACGTTCTACAACCGCAGCGTTGGCAAGCGGGGCAGATGGAGTGAGTTCGGAGCTCTGGGTCTGGCTGGAGGAATCTTGCACCACGATATCAAGGTTCCAGGACCTGTTGACAAGACCCTGGCTCATGACTCATGTTAATGCACCAGAAGATTCCTGTCTCACACAGTCTGCATTAAGCAATCGTACGGGGACATTCGCAGTAGTTGGTGGACCGCCATAAGAGTCCTCTGATGTTCTCAAGTCCGAATTCACAATGGCTAACGGCATGAAGACATCGTAATCGTTGCATTTGGGATCAAAGCTCCTCTTCAATTTAGATCAAGACTACCTCCGGCCCCACTTGTGCTCAACGACCGCGTGTGTGTTCGATCATGGACACTGTATCGAACCTAATGGGGCAGTCTTTTGACTCAGTACATGATTTGCGCAGCTTCCGCATTTGACCTCTGTCTGGATTTCTTTCAACATCGCACGTTGCTAATAACATCTCGGTAATATTGCGACACGAGCATCTCCAAGAAGAACTCAAGCAAAGCGAGGCAAGATTTTGCTTCGAGTATGACCGGGGATCGAGCAAAGCAGGTTCCGTACAGCGAGACATGCGACGTGCGACGAAATGATGGCAACCCGCAGTGGTCAAAGTCTTTGCAGAAGAGCAACACTGACAGTTCTGGCGTATGTAACCTCCTTTACCTCCGATCTCGCAGCAAGGCTGCCAATCTGTTTATGTGAAGCCGGGACATGCAGCAGCACGTGCCAGCACGATACATGTTTGTACCGACACATAGTAGCATGGAGATAATGTGCATCATATTCTTCCACACTCCTGAAACTTATTCTATAGTACCATTGGCATATGCATTATTTGGCATATTCTGACTCAGCTCGGTCGGAATGACTGATGTCTAGCTTTTGCAGGTTCACGCTCGCATGGGTTTCGGGTTCTCGAAGTTGCGATTTGCCTTATCGTGACATCCCTAGACCCTTTCGTCCTCCTGTCTTCCACCCTGGCCATAGAACCCGAAAGCCAAAAGACCAAGGAGACCCCTGCGCCCTGACATCAAAGCAATTACCCCGTAATTCTGCTGCCCAGCCCTATGCCCTAAGGTGCCATCGGATTCGGCAGTCTTGGCAACCATGCCTCAGCACACTCCAGAGCCGTCTGCGCCAAGTTGAACAGCCTTTGCTTGTCATCTGCAGCTGATGACCACCACAGTACAGCCCCTAAATTACTAAAGCTTCAAAGCCGAAAGCACTAACCCTCCAAAGATGTGAGCACAACTAAAACTACGTCTCGTGTCGCAACATCGATGGTCGAACCGGAGGATGCCCCAACAGACCGCGGCTCCTTGCAGCTTGGGGACTCCATGGCTTCGACGAAGCACTTCCTGCGTCGATGCAAGCCTCGGAAGGGAAGCTGTGGCATCCACCTTCTTGCTGTCATTGTGCAATGACCTTGTTAATCATACTATTAGTCTTACTTGAAACCCATTATGCTGCTCTTACCCCTACCACTAAAGCTGCACCCGCAGCTACCACTACTATGACTGCCACATTGGCCTGCGCTGGCACTTGCGGTGCTACGACTTGTAGCACTGCCAGTGCTGCTATGCCTCCCGCTGCTACTGCATCAGCTGCTGCTCTGACTAGCACGACAAGTGTAGGAGTAGCAGCAGCAGCAGTAGTAGTAGTAGTCGTCGTTGTAGTGGTAGTAGAGTAAGCAGCAGCAGCAGCAGCAGCAGCAGCAGCAGCAGCAGGAGTAGTAGTAGTAGTAGTAGTAGTAGTAGTAGTAGTGGTCGTTGCAGCGGCGGGAGTAGTAGCAGTAGTAGTTGTAGTTGTAGTTGTAATAGTTGTAGTTGTAGTTGTCGTTGTAGTTGTAGTAGTAGTAGTAGTAGTAGTAGTAGTCGTAGTAGCAGTAGCAGCAGTAGTAGTAGTAGTAGTAGTAGTAGTCGCGGTAGTAGTCGTAGTCGTCGTAGGGGTGGCGGTAGCTGTAGCGGTGGCAGAGGCAGCAATCAATAATAGTAGCAAGTACAGCAGCGGCAGCAGGAGTACGTAGAAGTAGGAGTGGGACGGAGTTGCAGTGGTGGTAGTAGCAGTAGTAGCAGTAATTAGAAGTAGTAGCCGTAGTAGCACTAGTTAGTAGTAGTAGTAGTAGT